GGGCTTTTCTCTCACGAGCTTTACTCCATTTGCATTATCACAGTCAACTCTACTTTGAGGAGGCAGCTCTTCCCCAGTCGCATTTTGAGTGCCTTCCAAACTGAGGGGCTCATTCTCCAGCACTATACCTGACAGTGTTTTTCTGCTATTCATAATGTTTTCAGTGACTAAAGATTCGGAAGTAGTTCGTCACTCTTTCTTCCTAGTCTGTCTTTGTCTGGAAGCTCATCTGTAACCTGTCCACCATAGGTTACCCTGCTGGTTATTTAAAATACCGGTGGCATAGCTTTCAGAATCATAGCAACTCACAAGCCACCACAGTATGACATGCTGACAGACAAGTGGTGGCTGTTTCAGTAGAGCTCCCAAACTCAGGTGGACTAGGAAGAATCCAGTGGTGAGGATTTTGTTTTCTTTTTACTGAGGTGCAATCTGTACTGAAGGCTGTAGTATTTGATCTTCATCAGTAAATCCTCTTCACTTTCAGCAAGCAAGATTGTGCCATCTATATAACATGGGCTGTTAATCAGTCTTTCTACAATCCTGATGCCATGTTCTCCTTTATATAATGCAAATTCTTGGATTATTTGCTCCATAAAGTATGGCGATTATTATTACTACAATGTGGTTTCAGCCACCTTTCTCATACAAAGATCACTGCTTTGAAGAGAGCATATCCATCTCATTCCATCAAGTTCCAGTGATTCAGTTATGACTGATGGTGACCCTATGTAAGGTTTGTTGTTGCTATTAAGTGTTGTCAAGTTGGTTCCAATCCATAGCAAGCCTGTATAGGATTTCCTAGGAGCAGCTGGTGTTTGAATCACTGACCTAAGATGCTGTAAATCTTTAAGGAGCAGAAAGCCTCATTTTTCTTTCATGGAGCAGCTGCTGGGTTTGAACTGCTGACCTTGCAGTTAGCATTCTAGTGGTTATCTTGCAGTGCCACTAGGGTGCTTTTGTTATATAGCAATGCATATAAAAATGTGAAAGGATTGTTCTTTACTGTTTCAAAGTCAAGTGGACATACTCTGACTTTACTGCAATTGTCTGATTACATTATTTCAAGAAAAAGGAATGGAAATGAGCATTGTACAAGCTATTGTTCTTCTCTCCTTTGTTTCTTTGTTGTTGTTGTCAGGTGCCATCGAGTCGGAACCGACTCATAGTGACCCCATGCACAGCAGACCCAAACAATGTCCAATCCTGGGCCATTCTCACTACCGCTGCTACACTTGACGCCATCAATGATGCCACCTGGCTGATCCATCTTGTTGGGGGTCTTCCTCT